AAAATAAACTTTTTTTTTTCAAATGGTAACCACTATATTTTTTAATGGATTCTGGTAAAGCTTTTTTTTCTGAACATTTTGGTAGTCGAATCGTCAATTTTGGTTCGCTAGTTTATTAACTATGGTCCTCCAAAGATTAGTAAAATATACATTAATACTTTTAATTAAAATAATGGGTATAGGTTTAATTTACAAGCGCTAAACAATTTTTTCTTATAACTACCATTTGATACACTACAATAGTTGAATCGGTAATCTAATGACACCCTCAAAAAAAAAAAAAAAATAACAAACAATTGTTTGTAAACATACTTCATTATTTTAATTTTAACATACGATCATATAAAATCAATATTATTATTTTAATATCCAAAACTAAAAAGGATGGAAAGGGATGAATTACTACTCCTAAGTTCATACTTTGGATGCGATACCATTATAGGGAATCTATGGTTAAAATATCAAGTTTATACTTTATACCACTACGAAAAGATGACCATGAAGTTAGCCCCCCCACTTTGACGGATTCACTTCAAACCAACGCCAATATTTAGCAAATTAATTGCAAATAATTGCAAATTGGTTTTTAGAATTTGCAAATTTAGTAAACGCTCGCAAACTAAAAAATGATTTGGGGGGGCTAACTTCATGCAGCCCCCCACTTTGTCCGATCCGTTCCAAACAAACGCCAATATTTAGCAAATTAATTGCAAATAATTGCAAATCGGTTTTTAGAATTTGCAAATCAAAATTGGAATTTTGACGAATTTTTTTGCAAATTTGGTCAGCCCCCCCACTTTGTCCGATCCGTTCCAAACAAACGCCAATATTTAGCAAATTAATTGCAAATAATTGCAAATCGGTTTTTAGAATTTGCAAATCAAAATTGGAATTTTGGCGAATTTTTTTGCAAATTTGGTCAGCCCCCCCACTTTGTCCGATCCGTTCCAAACAAACGCCAATATTTAGCAAATTAATTGCAAATAATTGCAAATTGGTTTTTAGAATTTGCAAATCAAAATTGGAATTTTGGCGAATTTTTTTGCAAATTTGGTCAGCCCCCCCCCCCCACTTTGTCCGATCCGTTCCAAAAAAACGCCAATATTTAGCAAATTAATTGCAAATAATTGCAAATCGGTTTTTAGAATTTGCAAATCAAAATTGGAAATTTGACGAATTTTTTTGCAAATTTGGTCAGCCCCCCCACCCCACTTTGTCCGATCCGTTCCAAAAAAACGCCAATATTTAGCAAATTAATTGCAAATAATTGCAAATCGGTTTTTAGAATTTGCAAATCAAAATTGGAATTTTGGCGAATTTTTTTGCAAATTTGGTCAGCCCCCCCACTTTGTCCGATCCGTTCCAAACAAACGCCTATATTTAGCAAATTATTTGCAAATAATTGCAAATCGGTTTTTAGAATTTGCAAATCAAAATTGGAATTTTGACGAATTTTTTTGCAAATTTGGTCAGCCCCCCCCCACTTTGTCCGATCCGTTCCAAAAAAACGCCAATATTTAGCAAATTAATTGCAAATAATTGCAAATCGGTTTTTAGAATTTGCAAATCAAAATTGGAATTTTGGCGAATTTTTTTGCAAATTTGGTCAGCCCCCCCACTTTGTCCGATCCGTTCCAAACAAACGCCTATATTTAGCAAATTATTTGCAAATAATTGCAAATCGGTTTTTAGAATTTGCAAATCAAAATTGGAATTTTGACGAATTTTTTTGCAAATTTGGTCAGCCCCCCCCCACTTTGTCCGATCCGTTCCAAAAAAACGCCAATATTTAGCAAATTAATTGCAAATAATTGCAAATCGGTTTTTAGAATTTGCAAATCAAAATTGGAATTTTGACGAATTTTTTTGCAAATTTGGTCAGCCCCCCCCCCCCACTTTGTCCGATCCGTTCCAAAAAAACGCCAATATTTAGCAAATTAATTGCAAATAATTGCAAATCAGTTTTTAGAATTTGCAAATCAAAATTGGAATTTTGGCGAATTTTTTTGCAAATTTGGTCAGCCCCCCCACTTTGTCCGATCCGTTCCAAACAAACGCCAATATTTAGCAAATTAATTGCAAATAATTGCAAATCGGTTTTTAGAATTTGCAAATCAAAATTGGAAATTTGACGAATTTTTTTGCAAATTTGGTCAGCCCCCCCACCCCACTTTGTCCGATCCGTTCCAAAAAAACGCCAATATTTAGCAAATTAATTGCAAATAATTGCAAATCGGTTTTTAGAATTTGCAAATCAAAATTGGAATTTTGGCGAATTTTTTTGCAAATTTGGTCAGCCCCCCCCCACTTTGTCCGATCCGTTCCAAAAAAACGCCAATATTTAGCAAATTAATTGCAAATAATTGCAAATCAGTTTTTAGAATTTGCAAATCAAAATTGGAATTTTGACGAATTTTTTTGCAAATTTGGTCAGCCCCCCCCCCACTTTGTCCGATCCGTTCCAAAAAAACGCCAATATTTAGCAAATTAATTGCAAATAATTGCAAATCGGTTTTTAGAATTTGCAAATCAAAATTGGAATTTTGGCGAATTTTTTTGCAAATTTGGTCAGCCCCCCCACTTTGTCCGATCCGTTCCAAACAAACGCCTATATTTAGCAAATTATTTGCAAATAATTGCAAATCGGTTTTTAGAATTTGCAAATCAAAATTGGAATTTTGACGAATTTTTTTGCAAATTTGGTCAGCCCCCCCCCACTTTGTCCGATCCGTTCCAAAAAAACGCCAATATTTAGCAAATTAATTGCAAATAATTGCAAATCGGTTTTTAGAATTTGCAAATCAAAATTGGAATTTTGACGAATTTTTTTGCAAATTTGGTCAGCCCCCCCCCCCCACTTTGTCCGATCCGTTCCAAAAAAACGCCAATATTTAGCAAATTAATTGCAAATAATTGCAAATCAGTTTTTAGAATTTGCAAATCAAAATTGGAATTTTGGCGAATTTTTTTGCAAATTTGGTCAGCCCCCCCACTTTGTCCGATCCGTTCCAAACAAACGCCAATATTTAGCAAATTAATTGCAAATAATTGCAAATCGGTTTTTAGAATTTGCAAATCAAAATTGGAAATTTGACGAATTTTTTTGCAAATTTGGTCAGCCCCCCCACCCCACTTTGTCCGATCCGTTCCAAAAAAACGCCAATATTTAGCAAATTAATTGCAAATAATTGCAAATCGGTTTTTAGAATTTGCAAATCAAAATTGGAATTTTGGCGAATTTTTTTGCAAATTTGGTCAGCCCCCCCACTTTGTCCGATCCGTTCCAAACAAACGCCAATATTTAGCAAATTAATTGCAAATAATTGCAAATATATATTATATACATATAAAATTTGACCTAAGATAGGTCCCTATAGTAAATACCAAATTAATCATATCACAATATCCATTAGGTACTTATAATGCGTTATACGTCAACAACAAACCCTGATACTATCATAGATATATAGTAGTATACTTTAGAAGTTTCAAGTACCCACGAATAATATTATACAATCACAACAAAATAACTAAAATAGTTATTCTAGGCTTTTTTTATGTAATTTCATCCAAATATGAACTTAAAATGACTATACAAATAAACTGTGCTTATGTATTTTTTAGATTTTTTGTTAACAGAATAAACTACGTGGAATCTTGTTTTAAATTTTCAATCCTTAGATATAAAAGTTAAACATTTTATAAATTTTTAACTACAAAATAACTATTCAATTTTAAATTTGATAAATTTTGTCAAAATTCGATCTTTAAATGCTTATAAAAAAAAATTGTGCCTATGTATTTTAAATATTTCAACTGAAATTTTAACAATATATCAAGAGTCTTGTATTAAATTTTTACACTTTTTGGCCCAACAGATAAAACTTTATTGATATTTATAGAATAAAAAACTAAATAAATTGGAAACTGAAATTGTCCGTAAACAACTCAAAAAGAGTCAAAATATTTTCAAAATTGTATGGTGTGTAGGAAATGCTAATATAAACATTCAATTAAATTGTTATGTATCTCCAGTTATTCGCTACTGTTGAAGAAAATCCAAGCACTTTTACTGTCCTAAAACGTGATGACAGACACAAATAAAAATAAAAGACAGATTTTTTATTAAATATAGATTTTTATCAATTATAGATTTTATTTATTTTATTCAACTAGTCCTTTTTATTCAGGATTTTTTTATAAATTGAATGTTAATTTAAAATATTCAAGAATTTTATTGAACATGGATTTTTTTTTATCAAATATAGATTTTATGTTGATATTTTTTATCATATATACACTTTTAATTGAATATACAAATTTTTTTGATTATGAATCGTTTTTATAAAATTTGGATTTAATTTAAAACAAAAAACCAAATAAAAATGTAAAAATTATGAATAAATACTATTAATTAAAATGACTAATTATGATCATTAATAAAAATAATATAATATCTGATTATTATAATCATTAAAATTATTCAGCCCCCCTGACTATTTTAGCTAGCTGAAGAATGAGGGAGCAAACTGTATGCAGTCCCCACTTCGGCCGATTTTGTAAATATTTGAAAACAAAAGTAAAATGTGTAATAACCATTAATTAAATTTATTGAAATGTATTAAAATTGTATAAAACAGTGTTAATAACAAATAGATAATTTTTTAAATAAAAAAAAAAAATACAAACTATTTAGCTTTCTGATATACGTAAAGTTAGTGTGTAATTACATTAAGTTTAAACATTTTATTTTATGGCATACATCAGCATATGAGATTTAACGTAACATTTTTTTGGATTACGACAGTTGGTGCTTTTTTTCTGTAAGTCGTTGTGTATTTCCCAGTATCCTCCTACACGTCTTACATATGCCACATAATGCCCAGGTATGTAAGCAATTACGCCATAAAGCACATAGCTGCAACATAATAGTTATTCAAAAATATTAAATATAGGTATAATTTTATATTAAATATAAACATGTTTTTAATAAATATATGTTATATTACTAACGCTTTATCATCGATAGTTATTTCTAAAGGAAAGTCTGTTAACGCTGTTGGTTCATCATATATGTCTGTCTCAATAAACAGGTGTTCGTGTAACATTCGTTTTGATACAGCATTACTTTGACAGTCATAGCACTTAATAATTTTATCTTCACAGTAATGTTGCAAGTTTTTTTGAAGATTTGAAAACCCATCATCTAGCGTAACAATAATAGTTGGGGAAGTGTGTTCTTTCACTCCACAATTATTCTTAGAACAGGTTTTTATGTTTGTGGTTGATGGATTAGTTTTCATCAATGTACTAATTATGTGAAGAACATTACACTCTGCATTTATGACAACGACATCGGTAATTCCCAGATCTTCTTGGAATATTTTATTTAAAATTCCTAGGCGTTTTTTATATATAATAGAACTTGGACCATTGATAGCTAAATCCTTACAAAATGTTAAAAGCTCATTATGACTTTTATTAATGAACTCTTGATAATCTTTACTGTCTGTATACGCCATAGCAATAAGAATACACACCGAATCAAAAGCACAAGTGTTTGAGACTAAATATCTTTTTTTATTAACTCTTATTGGTGTTTTCATGTTTCCGTTGATGAGTAGTGTCTGATTTTTTGACCTCAAACTTTTGTTTAATAATCTTTCAATCTCTGGTGTTGGGTCCATGTATTTAGTTCTTTTTTTATATTTTTTAATTATACTTAGCTTTGCTGTAGGGTTTTCTCCTTTGCCTCGCCAGTTTTCAATATCGCTACTAATACAACTTGAAGTTTCCAATGAATTTGAATCATTATCATTTAAGTTATTTATTGTACTATTGATATCATTTTTTTTAAAGTCTAATAAAGTTTTTATATCATTATCACTATTTTCAGAGTCAATATCAATTTTCCTACCGGCAGGACTAAAAAGATGTTTGTTAATTTTCCTTTTTATATTAGGACTCTGAGGATAAATTGAATTTATTTCAATTTGGGTAACTTTGGATATGCTTTCATTCGAATTACTGTCATTATTTCTAAAACTAGTTTCATAATCGTAGTCACAAATATCGTTAATAAGTTCATGTTCAGTTTTTTTATGACTAATTTCAATGTCACTATCACATTCTGGTAATAATATATCCCTTTTGTTGTTTATATTTATGTTTGCATACGTATTTCTCAATTGCATACTACGAAATAGTTTACTGTGTTCATCAATGCTTTTAACATGTCGTATTACAAAACGGTCAGCTGTCATCGGTCGTGTAGAAAACTTCAACACTTCGTTTTTTAGTTTATTAAAATCATTTTCAACCGAAGAACTAGTAGCAATGAGATAAGGAGATTTAAATTGATCAACCATAACTGAAGTCCATAACGGGAAATCATAACAATAACGTTTTAAGTCTTTCAATAAAGCTGGTATGAAATATGCAGATTCTCTATTGCCTTTAGTTAAAGCATCCATATTGCTTTCTGTTTCTATTTCATGAATAAAACGCGCTACTTCATCTTGATCATAAAAATTTGTTGAATCGACAGTATCGGTTTCGTCATTCAAGACTTCAATGTTCGTACATTCTTCGGCAACATATTCATCATTAAATGAAGCAGTATCTTTCATCAATGACAGTAAATATTGTCTAGAACTTTCTGAAGGGTTTGGTTGCATATTGTTTTCATCCATCCAACCATCTGTAGGACTCAATATAACTACCATTAAGGATTTTAATAATTTTTTGAACCTTTCTAAACTTGTTGATGTTAATAAAAGTCTAAATCCACGAACATAAAATTCTTTTAAACGTTTATTTCTGATTCCACTAAAATGTTGTAAACGGCAAAACATTTTAATCATATGTGATACGTCCACTCTTAAAAAACATGGTGGTAAATCATTACTTGAATTAGTTAGAACAAAAAAACATTTTTGAACGTACGACCGAAGATTACTTGAACAAAATGATTTACACATTGCACCAAGAAGAGCTTTTGAGTAGTCTGATACTGCTTCATTAGGTGGATTTACTCCGGATTTGATCCACATGTCTAGCCAAAATGTAATTGATATCGTGTCATGCCTTTCTGAAATCATTTGACTTACAGGGAATTGACCAAATCCTTGACTTATTACCGCTTCATAAAGAAATATATCTGCAGACAAGATGTTTATGCTTGTACGTTTCAACTTTTTGACTAGACTACCAGTTGCATCCAGGGCTAATCTGCAGTATTCTTTATTATAATCTCTGTAAATGAGTATTTGGTGGTTGGTCCAATAATGTACATACAAAGGGTCATATCCTATATTATGTATACTTCCTGCCAAAGATGTGTGCTTTAGTTCAACTAATGATTCTAAAACGTTTTTTTTTGGTAATCTCAGTAATTTATCAGTATACTCTTGTTTGGCCTTACTTAAAACATTGTTTTTGTACAAATTTGGAGGTGAAGTACAATCAAAATCCATCTCTTCTGTATTTTGTCTTCTCCAATTTGCTGGTATATCCGTTAATAATTGTTTACCAATTTTTTGACGTTTCAGACCCATAAGAGGTCTTTTTGAAGAGTGAGCCAGTTCTTCTCCTCGAGTATCTTTTGTCGAAATATTTATTTCTAATGGTTCAAATTCTTTTGGTTTCTTACTGCACCATCCAAATAAATTTTCACCACAATCCTTACATTTTCCTTGAAAAGTAATATAGTGTTTTGTATTATTAGTATCAATACTAACTTTTGCTCTTTTATATAGAAAGTTACAAGGTAACTTATGTTTTTTTATAAAAGCATCATTTATAACGTCTGCCCAGGCATATGGCTTCAATATATTATAAGATCTTGAACTGCCTTTTTTTTGTACCGTGTAGTACATGGCATTATACTAGAAAATAGCTGATAGGGAATAGTAAAAAAAAAAAACGGTCTTATTTTTATTGAATTCTGTTGAAGATGAACTTGATGTATCACATGTTATGTCAAAACTTGAGGTTTGACATAATGTTGCAATGCCACACAAGTCATAAAGTTGATTTTTCCATCCATGGCGGTTTTGATACACCGATATGTACAAACTATTTGGTGTGATTTTATTTCCAAGATCCAAGGAGATTTCTGTCCAAATTTTATCGGAGATTGGTTTCAGTTCATTATCAATAAACAATAAATGTTTTTTATTAACAAGTGCGTCAAAAACCAATTCATGGTCGATAATTGGTTTTCTACCCGGCTTTTTTGTTATCTATAGAAAAAAACAATTTTATTTTTTTTTACATGATTAAGATTACCTATATTATTTTATAAACTAAGCTTAAAATTCAAATTAAACAAAATATCCAGAGTTCACGATTCGTTTTTGCATCCTATATAGTATTTAAATAAAGATACTCATTAATCATTATATACTCCCTAATTGAAACTAAAATGATACCTACATCTTTTCATTTGAATTAGGAATTAGGGATAAGAAAGTGACGTACACATAAGATAATGTCTTTAAAGTTGCAGATCACATCTTTGCAGAAGGGGGAATAAACCAATTAAAACAGGTACAAAATATTTACATAAACTGATATTTTTACAAAAGCTAATATTAAAAATGTATTATTGTTTTCCTGATTCCACTAGAAGTTTTACTAAAAGGGATCTGGTATCAAATAATAATAGAAATAAGATTAAAGTATAATATATAAAACTGAGAATCAGCTCGTAAGTCTAATATTATGTTAAATATACTTGTGAATATGTGATTATGTATGTATTATTATTTTGATTCAAAAAATTCATAATTTAAAAAAACTTGTTTAAAAAATTTGTATTTATCAAAAAATATTAAAAAAATCTTTTTTTAAATACTATTAAATTACAATCCTAAAAAATTCTGTTTGATAAAAAACCTATAAAAAACCAGTATATTAAGCAAAATTAATAAAAAAAAGAATCGAGAGTTACTACACTACATACAGATACATCGGTACATGTATATGTCTTGTTTCTACTGAATATAGTTGACATAAGAATTCCAAATCAATTGTCAACGATTATTAATTTATTATTGAAATGAATATCACACAAAGTTATTATATAATTATAATATACCTACACAATATATACGAAGTACATGTCAGAATATAAAAGACAATAATAACCTTATTTAACCAAACTAAAATATTATAATATTAAGAACTCTACTGAATCTACAAGATCAAAAAACATTATAAAAAAGTAAAGATATTACGTAATTACGAGTACGCACTACGTAGTAGGCAGGGGTTAAAGTGACGTACATGTCCCCAGCCCCACCCATTAAAAATTTTAACATTTTTTTTTCTCAACATTTAGCAGTCAATTAGCAACAATTTGCAAGACTATTTTCCCAATTTGCAAGCCTTTAGATAAATCATAAAATAAAAAAAACTAGGGGCCATATCATCGAAAACACATTTTTAAATTTTTCTTGAACCAACATTTAGCAGCCAATTAGCAACAATTTGCAAGGTAGTTGTTGAAATTTGCAAACCAATATTTCGTCCGTAATACGCATTTCCGAAATTTGCACATGTCGCCAGCCCCACCCCGTAACGATATAATGCGATTTTCGACTTGCGATTCCTTCAGATTTTTTTAAATAGCCAATTTAATATAAAATAGTTGGTGAATTTACTGTGCATTTCGAATTCCATCAGAACTTAATTCTTACAGCGCAAAAATGTACGAAAATTGGCAAATAAGAATCTACTATAGTAATAACTAATAATAACTTTTTTTTAGTTAATTATATTTATATGTCTTAATTAATATTTTTACCTGACGACCATGATTAGGTTAGTTACTTCATTACTGTATTTTGTTCACTACATTTTTTAACTTACATCCAAAGGCCATTATTATGTGAACTTAAAATATATTTTGTCACGATATTTAGGTGATTATACTATTATAGTACGTTCAATAATTACCACTCATTACATTCCTTTTTACATTCCAAGTCTGTCTACTTCTTTCAGCCATAATCACCCCACACACAGGATGCTTAGGTTGGTCAATCAACTATGATCTACATTCACGTCATTGTATCTCATCTAATTATTTATATTTTTTTTATGTTCATTTACCTAGTCTAGTTTGTACTTAATTCTGAGTTGCCATCCATCTTATTTTAATATGTTTATATATATATATATACATTATATAATGTATATTGTATACCATTATATAAAAGCCAGTTGGCGTTAATCTTATAATAAATAAATAAATAAATAAATAAATTACCTTTTGCCTTTTGCCTTTTGTTAAGGTTAGGTTGGGTAATGTCGTACATTATTGTATTGATACATGTACTGTACATGTACTTATCTATTCTTTTATGAAATTCTAAGATTAGAATTGAAGAGCTTGTTACTAATATCTAAATTTTTTTCATCGTTATTGGATATGAGACAAATTAAGGAAAAGAGGTCAATGAAAATAAAAATTAGTAACAGTGCGAATTGTTTTGTTATTTTTCTACCTTTTATTATTTTTGATTATTAAACAATTAAACGGTGTAAACTAAAAATTCAAAATGTACAATTGTTGTTTCTTTAACTGGTATTGTTTTTTTTTTTTTAAATCTTCAAACAGCTCCCAGTTTCGACCATATCGTTTATGATGTATAGTGTCCTACTGATCTTCTTAGACCACCTTTTCCTCTGTAGAAACAAATTACTCCTCGGAGCTCATAGCTTGTAGTTTCGTGTACAAATATTTGAGGAATATCACACAATCTCACTTTTAACAATGTAGCAGCTTCACTACTTCGCTGACTCGAAATCATATCTTCTCCTAAAATTAATACAGTTGAAAAAAAATTTGTTGTTAAAAAAGGTTGGCAAGTGGGTGTCGCTCGGCTGTACAGTAGGTTACAAGTGGGTCACTGTATAATGGATGATATTAAATTTGAATTCAACGATATAATATCATTGTATAAGAAAAACGATTCTGAGCGGAGACGGTATGTGAGTCTAGGTATAAGACATATTATATACAAGTCTATGGTACTAAACCAAAATTTGACCTATAATAGGTACCTATAATAAATTCCAAATTAATCATATCACAATATCCATTAGGTACTTATAACGCGTTATACATCAACAAAAACCGTGATACTATCATAGATATATAATAGTACACTTTAGAAGTTTCAAGTACCCACGAATAATATTATTCAATCACAACAAAATAACTAAAATAGTTATTCTAGGTTTTTTAATATGTAATTTCGTCCAAATTTGAATTTAAAATGTCTGTAAAAAATAACTGTGTTCATATATTTTTTAGATTTTTTGGTTACAGTATGAACTATTTATGAGAACCTTTTTTTAAATTTGCAATCCTTAGCTATAAAAACTGAACATTTTATAATTTATTAATTACAATGATAGATAATTTTCGAGATTTTGATAAATTTTGTCAAAATACGATCTTTAAATGCTTATAAAAAAAAATTGTGCCTATGTATTTTTAATATTTTTCAACTGATATTGTAACAATATATCAGGAGCCTTGTATTAAATTTTTACACTTTTTGGCCCAACAGATAAAACTTTATTGATATTCATAGAAAAAAAAACTAAAAAAATTGAAAAATGAAAATATCCGTAAACAGCTCAAAAAGAGTCGCAATATTTTCAAAATTGTATGGTGTATAGGAAATGCTAATATAAACATTCAGTGAAATTTTCATGTATCTATAATTATTCGTTTATGAATTACAATAAAATAAGGAAATCGCTACATGAGAAATCGAGTGAATATCCAATGTTGTAAAAATTTGAATTTCAAACGCTCATAAAAATTTAATTTGACTGTCCGGTAGAGATTTTTTTATTGAGAAAGGTAGACAAACTTATGAGTAATCTTGTATTACATTTTCAAATCTTAGATTTAAAAAGAAAAATTTTTACGAATTCTTAACTCAAAATAATTTGCTATTTTTCGTGATTTTTCCATATTTTGTCAAATTTTGAACTTTAAATGCTTGTAAAAAAAAACTGTGACTAAAGATTTTTAATGTTTTTCATCTGCCTTTGAAACAATATACTAGGAGCCTTCTATTAAATTCCCAAGCTTTTTCAACCAACAAATAAAGTTTTATTGATATTTTTAGAAAAAATACTAAAAAAAAATGAAAAATGAAAATGTCCCTAATCAGGTCAAAATAAATCAAAATATTTTAAAAATGTTATCGGGTATAGAAAATTCAAATATAAACAACCAGTGAAAATTTCATGTATCTACGGTCATTTTTTTTTAAGTTACATCAAAAACCAAATTCAATTTTCTGAAAAATCGATTTTGCTTAAAAATTCCCGTTTTTCCTTAATTATTCTTTTGTTTTTCATGGCGCTTTTGAAAAGTTCTGGGAATCTTAAATTTTGACCTCCCCAATGCACTAACGATATTCACTTTCCATCACTCTTCATTGTAAAATCAATACATTCATCGCTCCGCTCAGAATCTAAAATTCGACAAAATCGATTTTGGTTAAACTCTAAAACGTATGAGTTATGATCATAGATATATGACATTTTCAATGAATATAACGATTTCAAAATATTTTGAATCGTGTTGAACTAGTTGTAGCTAATTATAGCCATATGAAATTTTCGATTAATGTCGATAAAATAATATTGGCTAGGTGAAAACACTTAAACAATTAATGCAAGGTTCTTGGTAAGTTTTATTAATTGATATTTAAAAAAAAGTTAATAGTAAATCTCAAAAATAATTTTATATGAGCGTTTAAACTTCAAATTTTCACAAAATACGTAAAAATCGTGAAATATTTAAAAATTATTTTGAGCTAGGAATTCATACAATTTTACTTTTTAT